TTTTTTTTGTCTGTTTTTTCTTTTACAAAATCTACTCTTACTAATTATGGAAATTTAACATGCTAATCCATTTAAACTTATAACGTCAATTTAGAATTATTATGAAACGTAATCTTTCATCCAAACTGGCGGTCGCCTCGCACGCAATGGTCGTACATTTGGACTTGGGCTGCTAGGCTGCGGTACTGAACTTGGTACGTCTGATTGATCTTGCTTCGCAGGATCTGCACTAACGGGTTGCGCTGTCGATTCCTCAACTTCATGAAGCCTTGACTGGCGTTTCTAACGTTTTTCTAGTTTCAACAACTTGTGGCTCCACATACTTCTTCATGTGCGCTATTCCTCGCATCTTATTATCTCCACCAGAATCTTGTATAACAACTGCATTGCGTTCTCTCCGAATCACTCTGTATGGAAGTGGTTCGAAACTTGACGTTAGCTTGTTTTTCCTCGTTTGTTTCAACAACACTCGATCACCCTCACTAATGTTGCAATCTTGGGCCGCGCTTATCGGCGTATTCTTTCTGTCGGAGTTTTACACGAGCATCCCTTTCTTTCAAAAGCTTTTTCCGTTCTGTCTCGGTGACACGACTTTCATTAACTTCAACTCTCGGGAGCTTTTCACGTAGTTTCCTTCCCATCAAAAGTTCGGCCGGAGTTGTGCCAGTTACTATATGAGGAGTTACTCTGTAATGGAATAGGAAATCTTCCAATGCTTTTTTCCAATCTTTACCTTCAATTCTGGAAATCCTAACGATCTTCAACAAGGTTTCGTTGCAACGTTCAACTCCTCCGTTACTTTGAGGCCAATAGGGTACGCCTTTCTTATGGATTATTCCGAGACTCTTTAAGAACGCTTCAAAATCTCTTGATGCAAATGGAGGGCCATTGTCACTACGAATTGTCTCTGGCAAACCGTGTGTTCTAAAAATAGCCTCCAGACTCTTTATCACGTGCTGCGCATCTGTTTTGCGAAGTAGAATGGCTTCGACCCAACGAGAATAATAATCTACGACGACCAGAAGATGACTCTCACTGGTTATTTCGAGAAGGTCAACTGAAATGTCTTTCCACGGAGATTCAGGCAATTTGGTCGATCTAATCGGTTCTGGCTTCGGTTTGGAACCACCCACGATTTGGCAGGGATGACATGAACGCACATAATCTTCTACCTGCTTGTCGATTTTCGGCCACCAAACTTTCTCTCGCAATCTGGACTTCGTACGAACAATTCCTTGGTGTCCTTCATGAGCCAACTCAACAGTTCGCTTCCAAAGACTCTCTGGCATAACTATTCGGCTCCCTCGCATTACAACTTGGCCAATAATCCAGAACTCATCTTTCAACGTCTTGTATTTGGTTCCTCGTAAAGAACTCCAATCACCAGTCACCACTGCTTGGCGAACTAACTTTAACGTCGCGTCGCTTTCTGAAGCATGTTCTACTTCTCTTGATGCTAATGCAACTGGCATCGCTCCATTCGCTACGCTGTAAGCAAAGTCTTCCGTGTCTATAGCATCAATATTTGCTGCTGAGTCTACTGGTAGGCGGCTGAGGGAGTCTGCGGGGTTGTCTTTACCTCGAATATATGTGAGCTTGTATTGGAACTGCTGCAGGTATAAAACCCATCGCTGTCTTTTTAGTTTCTTCCTCGTCGCCAAATGTAGTATTTTGAACCACTTTATTATACTACATATAAGAACTGCCATACATAGTTACAAACACTAAGTTTATATACCTTAATTTACATACATGCTAATTAGTTCCGATCTGTCGTCTGTTCGCAGTCGTTCTTAGTTTTGATGGTTGAAAACAGTTTTGTGTCGTCTGCGAACATTGCAACTTGACTGAATTTCACAGCATCAGGAAGATCGTTGACATGCAGGGCAAAGAGGACAGGACCAAGTATGGAGCCTTGAGGAATACCTGAAGTAAGTGGGAGGGTGGCAGAAGTGGCTCCAAGTACAGTTACACGTTGTTGGCGATTCGTGAGGCAGGAGTCGAACCATTGGATGAGGTTGCCGCCAAATCCAGCCATACGCAGCTTTTGTTTAAGTCTTGAGTGACTGACTTTGTCAAAAGCCTTTGACAGGTCCAAGTAAATAGCATCTACTTGACCGCCATTATCTAATTCCGAGCCGATGTAGTCCAGGACTTCCAAGAGGTTAGTAACGCATGATTTACCAGAAATAAATCTATGTTGCAGTTTCTGGATCAGCTGGAACAGATGATCTTTGATGTTAAAGAAAACGCAGCGTTCTAAAACTTTCGAAAGGATTGGTAGCAGTGAGATTGGCCGATAATTTTCAGTGTGTTCTCTTTGGCCTTTCTTATATATTGTAACAATGTCATGAAAATGCAATACACACGTGACGATGAACCGACCATTTCTTGCATAAACCAAGAGAAAAACAGATAATGAGGTCTATTATGTCTACATTGAGTTTCCTACTGTTCATATTATATATATGAAAAGTTTACATGCTTTGATAACACCTGTGCGTTCACCTCGCCATTTTGGCATTTAAGCATTGTTTTCATTGCTTGTTAGCAAACCTTTTCAGTCTATGAATATGTGCTCCGCTTTGTACTTAAATTGCTATGTTCACGTATATGATTGTCCATTGAAAGTTTACAAAAAGACGTTAAACGTTCTGACCTTTTTTCAGAAAGCGGTACAAATTTCCCGTGCGTAATACTGGCAAAATGACTGAAGTGAAAACCGGCAAACTTCGCAAGGCTATATTATTCGCATTTTACAGCCTGTCGCAACGAAACTTTGGAATATTACTAATTTTGCGATGTCCTTTCAAGCTGTGGTGAATTTTTTGTCTAGACTTGTTGAGATCAAAATTTTGGTTATTTGGGTAATAGGTCGGTTAGGTGAAACAATGTGAAAAGCAATTTTTAAAGCAAATTTACCATCATATTCCTCCAAAAAATTATAAGAAGTGGTTGTTATGTGGACTAATTATCTCGCAGACTCAGTCGGCTGAAAAGCCACCTAAAAATAGCGGCATGAGAAAACTAATTGCACTGCAGCGATTGCAGAACGAGCTATACAGTGTGTCTCAAAAAAGGTGAACCCTTCTTTCAAATTCAAATTATCTATAATTTGACAGCTCTAATTGCTTTGAATTAATGGTTGGGTAAGAACACAAGGTAGTTGCACTCATGGGACAAAACTAAAAGAAATAAAAATTAGAAAACTAAAAGTTTTTAAGAGTTTTGTCCCATGAGTACAAGACCCAACCATTAATTCAAAGCAATTAGAGCTGTCAAATTACTACAATACGTTATAGCTAATTTGAATTTGAAAGGGTTCACTTTTCTTGAGACACACTATAGAGCGTAATCAAGGCATTTTTTAATACCATGGACTGGTGGGGCATTTGCCCCACTGTGCCTCTTCCTCTGCCCCACCAATGAAGAAAAAGAATGGCCTATTGCCCCAAAGCCAGGGCCCTAGCCCCTAGGACCTGTATTGAGTAAATGAGTTCAACATAATGATTGAAAAAAATTTAATAAAATTTGTTGGTGAGCATACTTAAACTTATGTTCTTTTTGAATGTTTAGCGTGCAATATATTACAAATTTCACCATTAAAACTTATTTAAAGAAAATAATTTTTAAAAAAATGTGTACTCAGAATGCAGGAAATGCCATTCCAAAGGCCTAAATTTTAAAAATTTCTTGAGGGAGCATGCCCCCAGATCCCCCCCCCCCCAGATCCCCTAGCTAACTTGCGCCTGCGGCACTCGGCTCACACCTTCGGCGATCGCATACTATCCTGGGGAGGGCAAGGAAAATGGGCCCTTTGGCAGTTTTTCGGTAGACAGTCTGACTTCTCATTGATATTCGGACGCATCATTGATCCGCGTCCAGGCCTCCGCGCGTTATCGATCGATCCCTTCGTACCCTGCACGCGCGTAATCCACTGGTACACCATTTATATATCACTCCACATCCACATTGTTCTTCTTCGACCACATGAAGAAAGATGTAGAAAGACGATTTGCTTCGCGATGCCATAGCAAATCTACAAAGTTTTTTCTCTGGTTCCGAAAATACTTAAGAACTGTTATTGCGAGTTAAAACTATATATCATCCATATTGAAGAGAAGGAATTATATTTCAGAATACCCGTCCACCATAGTAATATCATATCATGTAGCCCGCGACCACTATTTCACTGGATACGTATATAATAGTATCCAGATCTTATTGCCTCGTTCTAATACACACAAACTAATTATTAGGACAATATTACAAATTGATAAAGGAAATATCATGGCGATGCAAGACTTTTAATGTTTGATACTATGCTTAGTGTGCTTTATAATATAAAATTTTTTTCCCAGCGACGCTAATTAATCATAATCTGCCAAACACCAATGTCAGGTGTGAGGAACATTAATTACATTGTTAAACCATGCACATAAATGCACAAGCAAGCATGGCATGTTTGCTCTCTTTCTAATCAGGAACTCTACGTGCGTGATAAACTTTCAGCGATCATAAAAAATTGCAATGGCGGCTCGATTCCGAGGACGAAAATCGGACGTCAGCATGAGAAAATATTGTCTCGTCTCTTGTATAATGCTCTGACTCGTCCTACCATACTTTGGTTACTGTTCACCCTTATGGGACAGTTGTGGATCTATGCTTAAAGAGAAAATTCAAAAACTACAAAATAGAGCGGCAAGAGATATGACAGGTGCCAATTACGACGTTAGGTGACTTAGGTCGTCGGATTTACTCCATGCTATGTCGGGGAAGAATCTGAACGACAAACAAAAAATGAATAAATCTGTCCTGATTTATAAAATATTAAACAACCACTCTGCTCCAAATCTAAAAGATAAATTTATTAGAAGGGATACAAATCATAATAATTACAATCTTAGAAGTGCTAATACTAATCTTCCAGTTCCTAGGACAAGTACTGAATATTTTAAAAAAGTTTTGGGTACAGTAGTGCTGTGCTATGGAACAACCTACGGAGGCAAAGTTAACAGAATTAAAAAACAACATGAGTTAGACATCGATTATCCTTCATATTTAATTTCTTGATATCTAATATTTATATAGAGTAATATTTATGCATATAATTAAGTTGTGTGATGCCCCTAATGAAAAACGTACATCTTGGATGATGAAGGAAGCATAGATAAATAAACTTTTACTCTATTCTATCCATGATGTTTGAAAGGCATAGCTTAAAAATGGACGGGTATTCTGAAATCGCTCCAAAAGAGTTACAAAAGCAAATAAAAGCAAGTGGGAATGGCAAATATAACTTAATAAAATGTGTCAGATGTCATCACCATGCACACCAAGATATGAAGCCACAATGTGTCCTGCTCAGATTTTGACATCTCAATTCTCCAATAAACAATACAATATTTTTAAATCGCCAATTGCGCGCGCAAGACACACTGTGAAGCGCATCTAATAAGAAGAGTATCCGCTGAATGTTTTGTTTAAGGGTGCGGGTCAATGATGCGTCCCGACTATCAATGAAGAGTCCGACTGTCTACGGAAAAAAATTGCTTCGGCGGCAATCGCATACTATCTTGGGGGGAGAAAAGGGCCCTTTGGCAGTTTTTCCCCACCACTGAAGAATCCTTAAAAAATGTACTGAGAGCGTTTGCACTCATTCCCCATGCAGGGACCAACTCAACTGTTAACATGCAAAAGCCATGGCGGCCATGTCGGTGTTCCAGACAATCACAAAGATTAATTAAAATTATTTTGAATTGGAACACCATTACACCAACATGGCGGCTGTGATATCATGTGCAAACGCTGCATTTTAAAAATAATTGCATTGCTCTTATAGCCAATCAAAAATGAGTAATTTTTTCATCTATATATTATTAATCACGTTATAGCAAGGCTGTATGCTAATGCCAACACCATTCGCATTAAATTCGCAATATGTTTTGATTTGAGTTAATCAAGGAGCTTCTTCCTCAGGACGTTGACTATATTGACGTCTTATATCGACTTCCTGAGAGTGGTCAAGTACCTTGCCTCTTGACGACTTCGTGCCCAGGCTCTTCACTTGCAGAGTAGAGGAAAGAAACTGGGTACGAGGTTGGACTCTTGCCGAAATTCCGTAAAGCCTGTTTTCCACTAGGCGGAATTTTGCGCGCGGAGCGGAATTTTTCTTTGTCTTGTGATTTCTCGGGTGGAACTAATTAAAAAAGACAAAGAAAAATTCCGCTCCGCGCGCAAAATTCCGCCTAGTGGAAAACAATATTAACAAGAGCATTGGGCTAGTATTCCAAAGGTCGTAGGTTCGTATCCCACCGTGGCCGGGCATATTTTTCAAGCTTGCCCGGTGTGGATATGCACTCAGAGTAACATCACAAACATATTATTCACCTGAGTACACAACACCAGCACAGAAAAAAAAAGTTGAACTGTTCTGTTTCATATAGTCGTTGCAACCAGATCAACAGGGGAAAAACCTCAATGAACAACAATTTCACAGTTTTGCATCTGTAACTATAACGTACTGTATAAACATATGTCTACTCCGGAAGACTGTGTACTGTATATTACCACTACTTTACCACTGACAGGGAAAGAATGGATTGCTGTTCCGCTTTTGAGCGGACAGTTCATTTGTAGATATTTGAATGATCGTATTCTTTTGATTACGCCCAGAAGATTACGCCCTTCATCATAACAATATTCTCTCAATGACTCAAATTATTTCAAATGCAATCTTCGCTCATGCAATCTACAGCCTTTCATGTTTTGAAAATGTTTGTAAAACCGGAATTTCATCTTGACAGCGTCCTTAAATTGTCTTACTCCATTTATTTATTTATACAGCAGCAAATTAAAACACTTCGAACTCCTCTTTCTTAACGTATTGGTATGTTGTCTTTTAACCTTGTAACTAGCTATGTAGCCTGGCAAACATTGGTGATATTTATTAGGGGGATTGTGAAGGGGTAAAATATTGAAGTTAGGATTTGCCAATAATTATCCGCTTTTCATGGGTAAACTGATGCATGCAGAGTTCGAACCACGGGTCTAATGTACAGCAATTTTGCTGCTACATGGGACTGATGGGCGTGGGATTTGGTAGGTCGGACGTGGCAAGTGGATCAATAGTACAACGTAACTGATGTTGAGAAAAAAGTTCGCTTGAAATACAGTGTAAAAACTATCGCCCTCCAAAATATAACCCAATTTCGCATCTGGTTGAATATACGTTCAAAATATACAGTTAAAATCTAGCTGATCCTGCCTTTCTTTGACAGCGAGACGTGGACGTCAAATTGATCAGCTTTTGTGCTGTGTCATCTATTTAACTGCAAATCGCAAATAATAACTGTCTCAAGCTGTCATCTTATGCATGCAAATTATTGAAAATAGTATTGATCGAGTGATTATATATGTTGGTCGATGTTTGCTGAATTAGGATATGTATAATTCCAGTATTCCAGAATATGCGGCGACATTTTCATTTTTTATGAGAAGCATATTGAGGACAAAACGTAGTTATTCAGTACATCAATTTTGCTGACAATAATAATCATTTCGAAGTTGATTTGTTTGTTGAGAAAGGTCGTGGAGATAAAATTGATCAGTTCAAATTTGCCAACGCCTACGCCACGCTTGAAAAGCCGCCATCGGATTGCATGTGTCGTTTCTATTAAAACAATAATATGTTTCAAACGTACCCCAGCAAAGTCATTCTTTTACTCTTCCTACGCAGAGTAGGAAGACTGTGTGACAGTGGATTATAGGGTCAGTTGTAATTACCTAAGTCTATATAGTGAACAATTGATTACACGCATACCAAAATATGTGTTTTGTATTGTTCCATACCAGTCAAACATTATTTCGGTATCATCTGGATTTAACTGTGGCTCCAACAGAGAATTGATGAAACTGTAAAATTTAAAGCTCGGATAATGAATAACTTCCTTTTTCAAGCCATGTATTCTCCACCTTAATTGAATATTAATGAGGTGATATTGAAACTGAAGTATGTTACGTATAACTGGGTTTATCTCAAAGACACTTTATTTTTTAACTTTTCATGTGAATCTGATAATAGTTTTATTATGTTATATTCAAGTTAGGCATGGCAGTGTCTTCTCAACTTGGTTAAGAAATACTTAATTACTAATTAATTCTTCGTTGTGTAACACTATTTATCTTTGAACATGCGGTGATCAATTCATAGGAATCACTGGTGCGTGCCAGCAGAACTAATTAACCACCTACATGAATATTCAAAATTTAAACCACGCGTTCCTTTCGAGAAATTTCGTCTGTATATTGTATGTTTGGAATAACTTCTCTTAAAAATTGTGGAGAAAATGTTATATTAGCAATGTTGGTGAATATAGAAAAGAACGTGTTGCCGTTTTGGTTTGTAATTCATCATTTGGAAATGCAAATCCCCCACTCGTGGTGTGCAAGTTGATCATGAATTTGCATAACAAAACAGCATTGATACGCTCGTATTATATTTGATCTGACTAACCACACCGTCACATCACAATCTTTGCAGCTCTCGTCGAGGCGCGACCAACTAACTCAAAGGTAAAGTGAACTTGAACATAATTCTAGACGAAAATATCTTGACTCTGTTATAGTTGCCAAGTTGGGGCTGTTCTTAATTTTGTTATTTACCTTGATGTTTAGATTTCTTAAGTGTTTTATAAGCCTACGTACGCAGTTGAATACGATTTCAAAACTTGGTTTGGAAAGTGAATCCAACACTAGCTACGCCATTAGGTTGTCAGAGATGATGCCGTCAGCAATTCCGAACGAGAATACAGCGGTGGCAAAATTTGGTGCGCAACAGCAATTTGACAAGAACGGGCAAGAATCTCATGATGACAAATCTCACCAAGGTATCTCAGGCTATTTTACATCGCTCGAATAGACCTGAAAAACATCAGATATATCATACCGTCCGGTTTTCTTACAAGTTATGAACTTATAATGCGCTGAGGGACAAGTATATTAAATAACTTTCGATATTTATATATAAGTAGAATTTTCACCCAATTACCTAGCAACTGACGGAATGGTTCATGGTTTAGTAAAGCAAATAATGTGTCTTGATTTATGCGTATATCGCGAGTAAGTTAACGCAAACGATGTAATAAAGAAGTTGTCACGTATTTGGAAAACATATTTCATATATTGAACATCGAGAAATACTGTAGACGTATTGTTTTGGCGTGCACGTATACTGCAATGTGATTACGACATTGCTACGCAAATTCCACAACCTACACAACCTCAGTGAAGCAAAACCAAATTTGCTTTCTATTAAGAATTTAGAGTAAGATATATGGACGACATTGCTTCAGCTAATGCTTATAGTTACTTTAGAATTGTAACCATGCCTAAACCTCAACTCCCATATTACAGCGCGGACGGAAACATCAGCTAATCGAGAAATACTAAGTGTCAATCAATTCTAAATTTGGAGTGTTTTCTTGCTTTTTGTTGTTTTACTAATTTAACATTTGGCATGAAATTAGAATTTCAAATGAGGCAATGGCATGGTCGGGTGCTTGCATATACCTCGCGTCGCTTTGTTCCTCATAGTTGGATGCGACGCTTCGATGGGAATTTCTATCTGACCATTATTCACTAATAATTATCGATAAAATGAGATAAGTTGTAAACTGACTTTGTCGTTGAAAGCATATTTATTGTTGGCACACTAATTTACGACTGATCAGGGTTTTTTATATGTATGTTGAATTTTACAGCAGTTGGATGTTGCCATTTGGTTCTATATTAAGCCAGAAAATAAAGAATTGGGAAGTTAGGAACGGGCGCGTTTTAATTCTATACGAGTCCGAAAATTCAGCACCTTGTACTTTCTGACAACTCAATTAAAAGTGGTTGAAACCATTGCAAAACATTGATATTACACATAAAAAATTAGTTATTCGTTTTAACCATCATCCATCATCATATATGACAGAAAGTAAGTGAATACCGCTGTTGTTTGCGAATGACTGATATGCTATCTATTTTGGGCCCAGTTAAGGCCCGTAATTTTGCTGCAACTTGCAATGCAATTGCGGATAGAGAGCCATGTTACATAGAAATGTGAACATGGCCCGCATTCTACTCGGACGACACTTGTCTTTGCATAGGCATACCTGTAGCTCAGTCGTCAGGGACGTACGTAGCGACCAGGGGAGTGTAACCCCCCCCCCCCCCCCCCCCCCAACTGTAAAACTCAGGTAAAAATCAGGTAAAATTCAAGTATAAGGTAAAATTCAAGTTTAAATTTTGATATATTTAAGTTAAATTTGCGTAATATTGCGTAATAAAGTCGTTATTTTTGTGAAATGATAACCATTTTTGTAAAATACAGTCAATTTAGATCCAATTCGTTTGCGAATTTGCTTTAGAAAACGCCAGAAATGCAGTTCTGCAGCTTCAAAAGCGTAAACATTTTCTGTGGGAGGGCCCCCAGACCCCCTTTTTCTTCTGAAACTTAGTATGACAGTGGAAATTAATCAGAAAAATTTATATTATAATTAAAACGCTTCAGGTAAATTTTTAACATTGAAGATCAAATTTCAGGTAAAATCCTCCGACCCCGTCCCCTCTCCCCAACTTCAGATGCATCGCTACGTCCCTGAGTCGGTCGTAAGGGATGAAAAATGGAACAAAATAGATGGTGGAGTAAACTTACTGTCGACCATGCTCACAATTCCCTTGCTACTATACCTTTTAGGCAACATGGCTCAACATCAGAAATTGCAGTTGCAAGTTGCATCAAAAATTGCCTCGTGTAACATGGCCTTTGTAATCGCCGTATAAGCTGCTTCAACTGGCCCCATGCAGTATGACGAATGATTCGCTATTTAAAAATATTAATATAGACCTTTGATTGGTTCCTCATAGGTAATCCTTTCCCAATACCTCGGTATAAGATGCATGTCATGTTCGTTTGATTCCTCGTCAAATCGCAAGCTATGATGGGTGAAGAGCATTCATCCGACTCCTCCCATTTCAAATATACAGCATACTAATTACTGAATGTCTTTCATTATTATTTGTATCCGATACTGCAAGAGTTGCATCTCTACTTATCCACGCAATTATTAATTCCGACAGCAGTGTACAATAGTCTGATTATAATTTTTCCTTTTGTCGGCTCAACTGACGAACACTGGGTTCAGGTTTCCTTAAAAAGGCCATTTTAATAAGTGGTAGCTGTTACTGAACTGCCTCTGAAAGAATATTTTAGATAGAACTGACAAAGGTTTCTATAGAGTATGTGAATAAATTAATTTCCTGGACAGTAAATAATCTGCATAATAATTATTAGCTACACATGCATGTATAATTCTCTGCTAGTGCTTTACGTGTTTCAACTCCAGTATAGCCGCTATAGGTCAGTAAAGGCGGTTTTCCACAAGCGAATTTGTTCGCGCGAAGCGACCTTTTCTTTTGTCGGCATCATTTGCCACGTCTTGCTGACGTAATAAGCGATACTGACAAAGGAAAAAGGTTGCTTCGCGCGAAAAAATTCGCTAGTGGAAAACCGGCTTTACTCAGTTAGAACAATTTATGTGCATAGAATTGGAAATGCCCACATCCACCAGCGGCAAATGTTGCCTGCTGCATTCAGACAGCAAAGACAATGCAATGAATGTATAAGCACACCATATGAACACCGTGCTAATGTGAAAGTCGAACGAACTAAAACTATAAATCGAGAACGAACTAAAACAGTAAAAGTCTAAAACTCATATAAATCACTTTGTATGATTGCTTGCTGCATTGAAACAACAATATAAGGGCATGAGTGATCACTGATCAGAACACCAGTTGAAGCAAAGTCGGGATCAGTATCGAGAATGAACTAAAACTGACACTGACTGAAGTTAAATCAGTTTAAGTGCAGGTCAAATTGTGTGAATTCTATATATAGTTATATGTTTGATCAGTTAAAATATTCACCGAAACTAATGACCATGACCATGGGCATGGGACTGAACTGAGATTAAGGATTAAAGCCGCGTGAAAGCCGAACGTAGGCGATTTTAATTTAATGACTGTGCAAAACTACAAATCATCCCAATTTTGTTCACTGAAACATGAAATGTTATGCTCGTTCACAACCATTGTCTTGACAACACGTTAAACAGTGTTCGGATATATTAATAATAATTGAATTTTATTGTTTACGTGCATACAACGCATAAAACATTTTTACAATTAATGCATTTTATAGCTACATTAAAACAAGTTATTAACATGATATTTATAACATCCAGCCGCTGATGTAGTTTATCTATTATGGTATTATTCACATGCAATATTCAACATGCATGCAAGTAACAACAATCCATGCAAGATGGCAGACAAGTTTAGTATTGATTTATGATATTTGAGTCAAAATTTGTACTACAAGTAAAAATGTTTTCTACCTGATTTTAAAAAGTTCTTTCAATTAAGGCCTATTTTTTATTGCATGCCATATATCTTTTAAAATGTATATCGTGTAACACACGCAAATGGAAATTTGCGCGCGGGGAACGGGAGAGACTCATCAATTGGCAGAAGACTGCAGAGGACAAGTCAGGATCTTGGAGTAATCATGTTACAATAGCCTAGTAACGATATTTTTCTTGAGCAAATGGACTATGTCGGTCTTTTAAAAGGACAAAATAATTTTCAGACCGTGTATAGATTGAAAGACACGCAGTCTATATATGAGACTTGAAAACATGACGTTTATAAGCGTCTACTGAATCAAGTTAACAGATTAACTTCAGAGAAGTACCCATAAGAGATTTCTGGTGTTCAACCATTGTCATGCATTGACGAACGTTACAACAATTGAACATATAATATATGATTACATATAGGTATAACGAAAATAACTGCATGAAAAGACGCCCTAAAGCATATATTGCTTGTATGTATATATATAGCTCCCTCTGTCTGAACTCTTAATTTAATACATACAATTACAATTGTCCTTCATTCTGAAGAAGGTCAACTAGTTTCGGACACACTAAGCAATGATAATCTGTACAGCGGATTTCGAATTTATCTAATATTTTTGCTCGGATTGTGGATTTTGCTTGCAATTTAGTTCGGATCCTAGATTGTGACTTCATAGTAGAGCTTTTAGCGGATCCAAATTTAGACAAGACCATTGTCGGACGGCGAATTTTGCTTCAAATTTGGGCGGATAGGCGGATTTGTATACCCCTATTCACCCCGTAAGTTGCCTGCGTTGGTATACGAGACGTAATAAACACAAAACATACTTGACACGGGCCAGTTGCTTCGCTCGATATTCAAGCAATGTTATACTGTATGTAGTTCCTTATTGAAATTCGCTTGTATACTGTAAGTTCTTCAGAAACATTTGTCCATGCCTACATGCATGCTAGTGTGTTTCTAGCTTTATCTTATACAGTTAATCGACAAAATACAGTTTGAACGCACCCAAATTATTCACATAAATTTACCAGTAATTATTTCAGACATGACTAGTTGACGTAAGGAACAAGTGATTTTAAAATATTCATTACGTTTCTTTAAGATGAACTCAGTGAAGCGGCAACAAGAAGTGGACAAACCTCGTCAAACCACAGCATTTTAGTACCATCTTCATACATGGCTACTAAAGGGAAGGACGAAGCAATGTATCCCGTTATAAATAATGTGCGAACTTTGCAAGTACCAAGGCATGGTATAAAACAACAAGGAGACCTGATGTCTACAGTGGTTTATAGCATGCCATCAGAGCGATCTGGACAAATAAAGAACTCTCCAGCTCAACCTGCTTACAACGGCCAAACGTCGTCTCTGAGAAACACACAAATAGTTCCTCAGAGACCGCAGGATCTCTTAGATAACATATCAATGGACGTGGCACAAGCAAATGTCAAGAGTAGCGCGCAGTATCGTAAATCGTACGCGTTTAAAATCTGGCGAGACAAAGGAAGTTTTCCATATCGGCTTGCTGAACAACCGGTCGTCAAAGAGGTAGTCCAACGAAAGAAATCTAAGAAATGCTTGAACGCAATACGAGCCCAGAAAGATCGAGAAAAAGAAGACGCGTGGAAAGAATTTAAGAGTTGTAGAGATACAAATAACGAAATGAAACACAGAAGAATTTCTAAGTTTCCACACAATATTCGAGTAGAAGGAACTTCAATGAAACATCACGATGAAGGGCAGTTGGACACAATATTATCAGATTCCCAAGATAACAATCCTAAATCAAGTCATACGAGGCACCAGAACAGCATTCCTGACTACTTTAAAAATAAGAAAGAATCTGCCCAGAAATCCCAACGCTTAGCTTCGCCGACGAAATCTATCCCGGCCTCCGTGATTCATGTACACACAACGAAAGCTTGTCAAGTTTCTAAACTAACCACTCAAGCTGAACAGAGTATGATCACGTCTGATAATGGCCATGGTGTTTACAATGTTTTGAAGTCAACAGCGCAAACAACAGTTCTGTTGGAATCAAGCCCAACTTCTAAAGGGAACTTAGTGCTAGGTAACAAGGATAACGGTATTTTCCAACGGTCTGATACACAAGCTTCCTCCAACGGAAAGTGCAATATACATGTTCAAGGTCAGGAACATGTACAATTGAATCCCAATGCAGTGAACGACAGACAGAAAATAACAGAGACAATTTCTGGAAGTGTTGCAGACAGTTCATGCCACATAAAAGGAAGAAATTATGTACCTGATATTCAGGGTAAACAACAGGAAGATCGTTCTGGTAAACCACACACTTCAAGAAGCTTGTCCACTACTTCATACATATTAGCTGATAACTCAGTGAAAAGGCGTGAAGATATTGAGATATTATCGACGGAACGCAATGTTATCAGTGATCAGTCACTCAGCCCAAGTCAAATGCAAGAGGCCAACTCTGAAATAGACAACTCGAATTTAGCCTCAATTATAAAGAACTCCTTAGCAAAGAAATATAGCAAAGAGAATGTGAAACCTGACTTAGGCTTTGCAGCTGTTGAACGAGGCAGGAAACGAGTAAGAAATGAAGTACCGAGCAGTGAAGAGGGAGAACGCCAGCGGAGAAGAACAAAACAACAAAAGGCAACGATGTTTACACGTCTCGATGAAGCTGTTGCTACAAATCTTGCTGATGGGATACATAATGTCAACTCAGAGTATTTTCCAATAGAAGCTCTGGCTAATAAAGCAGCAAAAGAAACGAGCACGGGTGCTTCTGACGGTATGGAGAGAAAAATGCCCAAAACATCCATAAAACACAAGGTTGATGAGATTGAACGTGCACGGTAAGATTTTTTACTTATAGTCTTGTTTGAAAATATTTCTTGTTATAAATATTGATTATTGTTTAACTCTTTCTAGTAACGTTAAAAATGTTTTTGTGACAAAAGACCTCTATACTCTTTGACGTTAGCTTTATTTTTTCTCAGTGGGGGATCCAGTGTTGCGGTGGCTTTTCATGTTTGAATCACCTGAAAAAGATTTTTAATCATTACTTACGCTATATACTTACCCTAGCTTCAACAAAGGTTTTTGGTCGAAACGTGTTCTTAATCTTTAATTTCAGGTATAGTTCATACACGGCAACACTAGCTACAGTACAGCTTATTATAAAAGATATGCTACGTCACCAATACGGCACTAGAATAGCCTGCACCACACTTAACTGACATTTAATTGGTTTGGGAAGTTTTTATAATAACGGAAATATATATATAATATAGGATGAATTACAAAGCCGTTTAGAACTTACAATTATAAACCGCACGTTTGCTAGAAGTCTAATTTAAAATGATTTATGGAATTACAATATGGTTCTAGAAAGTTGTTTCTAGAGAAGCAGAGTTCAATATGGGAGAAAAACTATTCCTAAACATAGAAGATTTTATAACGTAAGGGCGCGTAATTTCATAATTTCAATATACAATAATATTTTGGCCTGCAAATAATATCGCCTTTTTCTGCTGTCTTCGAATAATTCAGAATGTATATCCAGTGGACTATAGTTATAAAAATGGTCATGAATTATTGTAGAAATTAAAAGAATGCATGGATATTCGTAAACGTAAACTTAAGATATGTTTGTTTGTTTGTTTATACTGCACTCTGCAGTTATATATAAAATTATCTTCGCATTTTCTGTGTCTGCATCATACATATAAACATGTTCCGGTCGTACGATACAATTTACATGCAGTATAAAAAGCACATTGTGGAAAGTCAAGAAGCGGAACACAAAAACAAAAAACGTGGAACTTTGATGAATATTTATAACAATTAATATCTTTTGAATGTATTGGGTAACTAAGGTTATTTAATTGAGCCCGGCCGACCCAATTGTTCAACATCTTTTTAACCATTTCAGTTAAAGGTGCATGTTATTGTGCATGCATAGGAACATATACACTGCCAGCAGACGTTTCTCTGCCCATGCATTTAGTCAACTATTCACGTTAGCATGCATGCGTCAATTTCTATAAACGTGTCAGTCATATTTTATATCTTTGAGATGTTCCGGTTTTGTAAATGTCAAATAGAGACCTTTTATATTGACGTTTACCGCAAACTGTTAACCGCAAATGGCAAACTTCGAATTGTATTTTCGGGTAAAACTGCATGTTAGCTGTTCGAAGTTAGAGCCGGCAATTTGTGCATTAAAAGTGAAGGATGAATTAAATCAGCTATTTGATAGCTGTCGAATATTTGTAAGAAAATTCGTTGAGAAAATGCGTTTGCTGTTATAGCGGTCTGCCCTAAAGGCTATATATACGTCATGACATCTTTAGTAAGGTCTCTAATATTTATTTGACAGTCCGTATTTTCTCATTTTTACATTTTAGGTAGGGCTCACCTGGGCTTTATGTTATGTATGTCTGTTGTAGCTTTATATAATTGCATGGCTGTGTTATACATAAGCACTTTCAATTGGCTTTCTGAGCAATTATATTCAATATTTCATGCCATGCATTCTGTTTTGAAAACAACGACAATTAAATACATTTATAAATAGACTAAATGCACTCATTTGTGTTGATAATACAAGGATACTCTATTTCTTAGTTTTAATGTCGCGAGGAACGGGGCTTATAATATAAGACTATAAATATTTCTCCAACATGGAGTTTCTCTCCAGGCAATTACTTGCTAGAGATAATTTTAACGGCCGCAATGTTTTGAAGGGACGTGGGCGCATATAATGGCCAGCAATTAATATGCAACGCATGCGCTTTGTATTGAAAAACGGTTATAACCGGCTAAACAAGCAGTTTATTTGTCCAAAACTTTGAATGATTGGTACATCAAAGAAAGTGACGAAATGGGCAGAAGTGTCTTTAGCTTAGTAACCTGAAGTTCAGGCCCTATCACAGAATAGGGCCTGACACAAAACCTATCTAAAGTGTGGGATTCCCGTCCACCTGGTGGACGGGAAATCTGATTGGTTGATCAGCATCATGAAGGATTTTGATTGGCTGCAAGTTCACATAAACAACAGTTTTAAAAATAGCTCGGTCAAGGCGAGAATTAATATAAAGGTCAAACGCACGTAACAAATTCCATTATCGATTTCTTCGAATTTCTTTCCTTTTATGCTTTATGGAAGAAAATAAATCAAACAAACAGAATTTTGAAAGGGCTTCATCAAAATCTTTGACGAATTTTGGACATACACGACGCTGAAAGAACAACCAAACTAGTCCTGTATTCGAAAGCTTGTTGTTGACAGCCAAGATGTTCTGCCCACTTGCTTCGCCGGCAAAAGTCTTATTTTTAATATCAGGTCCTACCGGCGTTGTTTTCTGAGCTACATCGCCTTCTTCGTGGTATTAGGCCGTATTCCCTGACCGCTTTTCGTTCAGTTTTGTTGCCCCCCTTCGGGCACTACTTTAAATTCACATGAATCTATAGATTTTTATACGCTGAGTACGAATTCACTTGTTGTCACTCGCACAAACCTGCAGTTTGTTTGTATTTTACGATCAAACATCAACATTTTTTATTAAAATTTCCGCCATTTTGTTCAGGAAACTTCATGTTATATACAATTATTGTACTAGTTCAAGTCTCTTAGCAGGGGGGTTGCACGCGGTATTACGCATTTTTATCATTCTTCTGAGGAAAATATACGGAAATAAATAAAAATATTGATATGTTTTCACAATATTAAAATGCAAAAGGTAATAATACATGTTTGTATATAATCAGGAACTAATCTACTATTCTTTATTGCACCAACTTTTGTTTTTTTTGCCTCACCTTGATGTGAAATTTCAAAGACTGTCACTATATCCACAAAGACTCACTTGACTTGTCCTTGGTAAAGTTGTTTATTTTATTTATTACTGAAATTATGTACATAATTTTAGCCTTACAATGTGAATAGGCAATTTTTCTTTCAAATTTTTGTTAACAATGAATAAGGAGCACAATATACTTGTTGTTTAATTAATGTTAGACCTTGTCACCTATTTGTTGTTTATTATAAAATGTTAGACCTATAGTATAGTCACCTAGATAATTTATTAACACAAATAGACCATTGCCTATTAGTAGCAGTTGACCTCAATCAAATTAGCTCATCATTTAATAAATCTGCACATAACGAGTTCCATCACAGTTAATAGAATAGATGGTTTGGCTGAAACTCATTATTTATGTTAGTCAACGTTTATTCATAAATCTGGTCCTTCATCCTCATGTGTGTACTGTATTCTTGCCAAATCCACCTTGTATTCTTGCAATTTTCAATTTACCCTATTGTTCGAGTCACGGATAGGTAACTTTCCTAAGACATTGCTATTGGTTAGTTGGGTAAAAATACAGAGACCAGATTTATGAATAAACCAGTGGTGTAACTTTTTTTTTTGACCACTTGCTTTCAGGGCAATTTGCCAGGGGGTATAAATCAAGGGGGCAACATGTCGACTCATTCTCCCACTGCTCTATATGGCTATGTTATCCTTCCTTAGATCTAGCTTTGGCCCACAAAAAACAAAATTTGAATCAAGTACATGCACCATAAAAAAATTATCCGATAATGAAAGCCGAGCTTTTTGTGACAAGAGGCAACTTGCCCAATCGGGGCAAGATAAAACATTTACTTGCCTGTCATGATATTCACTTGCCCCGGGCAAGTGTTAAGTTACACCTCTGTAAACATTGACTAACATAGATAATGAGTTATATTGTTATTCTGATGAGTTTCCAAACCATCTATTCTATTAACTATGGTACAGGTATGTTCCATTTTCTTGTATTATCATAAAATTTTTGCTATCATGACATTGAGCTTTATAAAAAAAACTTTTGGAAGATATCTTTCACTCTAAGACAGACTGACAGCCTACTTTTGGTCTGTTTATATAGAGTTTTAACCCAGCAATATTTTTTAATCAATTTATTGTTATTAAAGTATTTACATTAGCAAATGGTGGCCATACAGAACATAGCCCCAATTGATTACAGCTATAATACAAGAAGCTTGCTTGGTGTTTCAATTTATATGACATGTTGAGGCAAGCATATGCATGGGCTTGCTGGAACAAAGGTACTAAGCAAAAAATTATATTCACACAAGCAAATCTCAAAGTCATGCCACCTAAAGACATGAACTGGTCGAGCCATTTGAGGTTTAACAACATATTGTCATGATACATCATCACCTTAATAAGCTCTAATCCTATTTGAGCTGCCACTCATTACCAAGCACTTGGAGAAGGGATAATTTATTAATTTATATTTGGCCAGGCAGGCACTAGAAATTTAAAGTAATCTGGCATCACTATACCTACCAATATGCATTAGTTACATAAACCTTCTTTCCAGTTGGGCTAGTCTAGCTGCCTAGCCAAGACTCTTTTTTCCATGCCTTAGATCTTGGATAACAGCTGGGCATTAAATAATAATCTATTCATCATTTCCTTTATAGGGGGTACCCAAGCCAGCCGGATACCCGAGCTAGCTCGCTTTGCCAAGATCTAACGTCGCTATGTAATTTAAACTAATATTCATCTTGCATTTATATGGAACTGGGCTGGCCTGTCTAGGCAAGATCTTGAGAAGTAAAAAGTATTATATTATACTATTTATAGCAGTGATACCAATGATCTGTTTTTGCGAGCCAGCCCGCCTCAATTAAAAGTCTCTTGTAAACATGGGATGAAATCAACTCGGATTACCTGGGCTGGTTCGCCTAGGAGATTAGAAAGTTTCAAAGTTAAAATTTATTTTGAAATCTCTCTGAGGGATAAAACCTTCAAAACTTTATTGTTGACAAAATTTTCAGGTAGAGAATACCCAGGAAAATTGCCTATTCATATTGCAAGGCTAACATTATGTACATAATTTCAATAATAAATAAAATAAACAACTTTACCAAGGACAAGTGAGTCTTTATGGATGACAAGAACAGTAGATTATTTCCTGATTATTTACAAACATGTATTATTACCTTTCGCACTTTAATATTGTGGAAAAATATCTATATTTTTATTTATTTCTGTATATTTTCCTCCGAAGAATGAGAAAAATTCGTAATACCGCGTGCAACCCCCCTGCTAAGAGACTTGAACTAGTACAATAACTGTATATAACATGAAGTTTCCAGAACAAAATGGCTGAAATTTTAATAAAAAATGTTGATGTTTGATCGTAAAATACAAAAAAACTGCAGGTTTGTGCGAGTGACAACAAGTGAATTCGAACTCAGCGTATAAAAATCTATAGATTCATGTAAATTTAAAGTAGTGCCCGAAGGGGGGCAACAAAAATCGTTTTCTAAGCGACTTTTGGGGCCAGGGAATACGGCCTATATGATTGAGAATTTAATTGTTGCTGTTATTAGCCCGTTAGTCCACAGGCGGCCCAATCTCAGAATGAATGATCAGGTGTTGCGGGTTTTTAACGGTTTTTATAAACAAATTTATAGTCAACCAAACTAT